AGGAGTTTGGCAAGGCTGTATACTGTCGCCTTGCCTATTTAACTTATATGCAGAGCACATCATGAGAAAGGCGGGGCTAGATGAATCACCAGTTGGAATTAAGATTGCTGGGAGAAATATCAACAACCTCAGATATGCAGATGATACCACTCTCATGGCAGAAAGTGAAGAGGAACTAAAGAGCCTCTTGATGCGGGTGAGAGCGCAAAAGTTGGCTTGAAATTCAACATTAAGAAAACTAAGATCATGGCATCCAGTCCTCTCACTTCCTGGCAAATAGATGGAGAAGAAATGGAGATAGTGACAGATTTTATTTTCCTGGGCTCCAAGATTACCGCAGATGGGGACTGCAGCCAAGAAATTAAAAGACGCTTGCTCCTGGGGAGGAAAGCTATGGCAAATTTAGACAGCATACTAAAAAGCAGAGACATCACCCTGCCAACAAAAGTGCATACAGTCAAGGCTATGGTTTTCCCAGTTGCAATGTCTGGCTGTGAAAGCTGGACCGTAAGGAAGGCTGAGCACCAAAGGATTGAGGCCTTTGAATTGTGGTGCTGGAGGAGACTCCTGTGAGTCCCTTAGACCGCAAGGCGATCAAACCGGTCAGTCCTAGAAGAGATCAACCCTGACTGCTCTTAAGAAGGCCAGATAGTGAAGATGAAACTCAAATACTTCGGCCACCTAATGAGAAGGAAGGACTCCCTGGAGAAGAGCCTAATGCTGGGAACAATAGATGGCAAAAGAAGAAGGGGACGGCAGAGGATGAGGTGGCTGGATGGAGTCACTGAAGCAGTTGGTGTGAGCTTAAGTGGACTCCGGGAGATGGTGGAGGACAGGAAGGCCTGGAGGAATGTTGTCCATGGGGTCGCGATGGGTCAGACACAACTTTGCGACTGACAACAACAACAACAATGTTGGAGACTTCATCCTGGAAATGCAAAATATTTTGTTCTGGAAGCACCCAGCAAATGTATATTGCAGTGTCCCTTGGATGGGTCTACAGCGTCCGTAGGACCAGCATGTAATAGGCTCCAAATGACCCTAAACAGCTCAGCGGAGGGGCAGAGAGAAATTGAACAGAGGCAGTGAGATCTTCCTTTGCCGCCCTCACTGCCCCTAAGTATACCAGACTGTGTGCTTCCATGCATTCAGTAGGCGTTCTTCCCATTTACACTCAGGCCATTTCCTGTTTTATTTCATTGCTTTCAGCTCAGGGCTATACCATGGGTCAGTTCCAGCTCCATTTCAGCCAGGGTGATGGGGAGCAATCCTATCAACCACCCAAGTCATCTCTGTGTTTCAGAGAACAGCCAGGGATTTGACAGGACACCAGCCATCTCAGCTGTTTCATGAAGGTACCCACCGTTGTCTCTCAAATTCCAAATACACCCCACACGATAGTGGTCACTGTGGAACAGCATCCAGTGCTGCGAAGTCCCCATCGCATGTGCTTTGCTCACTTCTTCCTCTCCAGAAGTGATAGTTTGGGCTAGTTCAGGTTGGCGGTTGTTCCTGCTAGTGCAGGGGCAGCATTGGAAGCCACCAATATTTTCCTTTTCATTTATTCAAGGATATTGCCCAAGGTACAGTTTGCAACAGAGCCCCCTCTTTAGTTTTCAGGTTCCGTTCTGAGATGCTGCAGCTGCATTTATGTGTTTCCCACCCTCTCCTGATGCCCTGTTTGCATGAGTAGACTTCTTCGGTGAGTGCGTTGTAGTCGATTGCCTTATCTGCTCCAAGAGTGGTCTGCAAATTGAAATAGATCGTCCTTCAATTACTGCACTGCACCTTGCTTCTCAATTATTGAATAGTTGAGCCAGAGTAGTTCCTGGGCAGTATTTGTTTGCAAAAATCAGCTTTGCCGTGGTAGTGACTAACAGTGCTGCCCAACTGTTTAAACATTCGGAGGTGGTCATGGTTGGTGGCAGCCTGGGGGCATTATTGAAGAGTGTGCAATCAATGCCCCGTTTCGCAAAACATATTGTATTCTACCTGCGTGAGTTGGCTGGTATTTGAATGTTCTACTTCTGGCTCCAACTGCACCTAAATGCCTACTGAATGGAGAAATCTTAATATCTTCGTAATTCAGTGATATGCTGCCTTTGAAGATTCATTAAAGCAACCAAAAAAAGGCACAGAAAACTCACTTCTGGTGTTGCCACAGAACCAGGCAGGAACTCTTTTAGGTAACTGAAGTAATGAAGTTACAAGGAGTCTATACACTTATTCAATGCTGTTTTCAGGGTATTTTGTCGACATGCTGTTGATTAAAGGATTTTCTGCTCCATATCTGAGGAAGAGCAAGATGTCCCTGAGGTTCCAAAGCAACAGACGACCAGCGGTTCCTCTTGGGTCACGGATTTTGCTGGATCCAGATAAAGTTTTTGATCATAACATGTGGTAAGATTAAAGTGGTTTGCTACAGTGTCATCCCTTCGACTTTTAATGAAGGTAGGGATTGTTGTGGCGACACGACACTTAACAGCACAAAGGCCAAGCACTCTAGACATGGGCAACTTACTATACCTTTACAATGTAGCTTTTCCATGCCTTTGGAGCCCAGGCTTTCTCTCTCTGGCAATGCAGTTTGCTTTGAAGTTCTTCGGGAAATACCAGTAGGATTTTAATCCAGTTTAGGCACGATTTGTATCTTTGTGTTAGTCACCAGCATAAGAAGGAACCTGAAATGCAAATAAAAAGTGTGAAGTCTGTTCTTTGCCGGGTCAGAAGACTGTCTCGATCCAGTGTCTTGCAGTTGGTTTGAGCTAAGAACTCCCATCATCCCCAGCCATGCTTGCCTGGGAAAGTAGAAGTTGCTGTCTGACACAGCTGGAGGGCCCCAGCTTAGGGAAGGCTGATTCAGAATCATGCAGTTGCTTTTCCAAGTAATCTCTAATGTAAAGGCTGCCTTGGCGATCTCAGATAACCTTTCCCATTTGTGATGTGCATACACACACGTTCCATGAGTACAATCTTTGTCAGTCTAGAAAGCAGCATAGCAGGCAAGACTGGCTAGAATTCATTATGATAAGCATTTATCATATGCATATGCAAGCCAGGTAGCCTTGTCAACCACCCCTCGGGTCTGACGGTGCTGCTGCTCAATGCCAGGTCGATCAATAATAAATCTTCCCTCATCCATGACTTGATTGTGGATGAGGGGGCCAACCTGGCTTGCATAACGGAGACCTGGGCGAGAGAGGGAGGGGATGTTGCCCTCTCCCAATTGTGCCCGCCCGGGTTTCTGGTTCAACACTGTTCACGCCCAGAAGGGAGGGGAGGGGGAGTCGCGTTGGTTTACAGAGCCTCCATCTCTCTCACGGGCCTTCCGGTCCCTTTGAGACCAGGGCTGGAGTGCCTCTACTTGGTGTTGGGCGAACGAGACAGATTGGGGATTCTATTGGTGTACCGTGCACCTTTCTGCCCAGCAGTCTCCCTATCTGAGCTGACAGAGACCGTCTCGGATCTGGTGTTGAGGACCCCCAGGATGTTGGTCCTGGGGGACTTCAATCTCCATGCCGAGTCTGGACTGACCGGGGCGGCTCAGGACTTCATGGCCTCTATGACGGCCATGGGCCTGTCTCAACACGTCACTGGCCCTACCCATGAACGTGGACACACTCTGGACCTGGTATTCACGACGGGGCAGGTAGAGGATGACCTGAGGGTGAAGAACTTATGTTTGACTCCCCTGTCATGGTCAGATCACCTCCTGGTGAGGTTTGTGCTCGAGAGCGGCCTCTCCCTCTATAAGAGTGCGGACCCGATTGTATGGGCCCGCCCCCGGAGCCGGATGGATCCGGATGGATTCCTGGGGGCCCTGGGGGAATTTCCGGCTGACAAGACTGGTGCTCCTGTCGAGGCTCTGGTCGAACTGTGGAACGGAGAGATGACCAGGGCTGTGGACACGATCGCTCCTAAGCGTCCTCTCCCACCGGGCAGAGTCCACTCTTCCCCTTGGTATACACCTGAATTACGGGCGATGAAGCGAGCTGGGAGACGGCTAGAGCGTAGGTGGAGGAAATCACGGGATGAATCTGACCGAACACACTTGAGAGCCCACTATCGGGCCTATGCTGTGGCGGTGAAGGCGGCGAAAAAGAAGTTTTTTTCCGCTTCCATTGCCTCCTCACAATGCCGTCCAGCGGAGCTTTTTCGAGTGGTGCAAGGCCTGGTTCGCCTGGGTCCTAAGGAAGATCCGATGCCACCCTCAAAGGCCCGTTGTGACGACTTTGCCAGGCATTTCAGGGAGAAAATCGCTCAGATTCGTCACGAGCTGGACTCCACTAATGAATCAGAGGTCTCTGAGGAGTCGCCAATGCCACCGTCTGGTCCAAAATTACTGGAGGAATTTCAATTATTGCGGCCCAATGATGTGGACAAGGTGCTTGGAAGAGTACGTCCCACCACTTGCTTATTGGATCCTTGCCCGTCTTGGTTAATAAATAACTCCAAGCACGGGATTGGGACCTGGATCTTGGAAGTGGTTAACGCTTCTCTGAGGGAGGGTCGAGTGCCTGCCCCTTTAAAGGAGGCGGTAATACGACCGGTCCTGAAGAAAGCGTCACTGGATCCAGAGATGGCCACTAACTATAGACCTGTGGCCAACATCCCGTTTCTGGGCAAGGTGTTGGAGCGAGTGGTGGCGGGACAACTCCAAGCACTCTTGGATGAAACTGATTATCTGGATCCTTTTCAGTCCGGCTTCAGACCCGGGTACAGTACTGAATCTGCCTTGGTCGCCCTGTACGACGACCTGTGCAGGGAGAAGGACAGGGGGAGTACATCCCTGTTGGTTCTTCTGGATCTCTCGGCGGCTTTCGATACTATCGACCATGGTATCCTTCTGGATAGACTTGCGGGATTGGGGGTTGGAGGCACTGCTTTGCAGTGGTTCCGCTCCTATCTCGACGGTCGATTCCAGAAGGTAGTGCTGGGGGACCATGTCTCTACGTCATGGCAGCTATGCCATGGGGTACCACAGGGCTCCATTCTATCCCCTCTGCTATTTAACATCTATATGAAACCGCTGGGAGAGGTCATCAGGAGGTGTGGGCTGCGGAATCATCAGTACGCTGATGATACCCAGCTTTACCTCTCATTCTCCACTAATCCAGGTGAGGCAGTGGCTGTGCTGAACTGGTGCTTGGCCGAGGTAAGGGAATGGATGAGGGCCAATAAACTGAAACTCAACCCAGACAAGACGGAGGTCCTGTTGGTTGGCGGATCGGGTTTCGGAGAGGGTGGATTTGACCTGGTCCTGAATGGTGCAACACTCCCTCTTAGGGATAAGGTCCGCAGCTTAGGAGTACTCCTCGACTCGGAGCTTTCTTTGGAAGCTCAGGTGACAGCGGTAGCGAGGAACGCCTTCCTTCAGCTTCGGCTGATTAATCAGCTGCGCCCCTACCTGGAGTACGACTGCCTGGCGACGGTGACACACGCGCTGGTGACTTCCCGCCTAGACTTCTGTAACGCGCTTTACGTGGGGCTTCCCCTGAAGACAGTCCGAACACTTCAGTTGGTGCAAAATAGAGCTGCCAGGTTGCTGACGGGGACGGGGCGTTATGCTCACATGACTCCAGTCCTCCATCAGCTTCACTGGCTTCCCATTGAAGCCCGGGCCCAATTCAAGGTGTTGATTATGACCTACAAAGCCCTAAACGGCTTGGGTCCGAGCTACCTGAATGAGCACTTACGTCCGTATATGCCCGACCGCCCTTTGAGATCTGCGGGAGAGTCCCTTCTCCAGGAACCCTCCATGAAAGAAATTAGGAGAGTAAGTACCCGGAGGAGGGCTTTCTCTGCGGTGGCGCCCAACCTATGGAATTCACTCCCCAAAGAGGTCCGCCTGGCACTGTCGTTACTGGTTTTTCGGCGCCAGGTAAAGACCTTTTTATTTAAACATCATTTCAATTGTTAAAACATATGATCTGGCCGGGGCAACTTCTTCTTCCTTCTCTTTCTCCTCCTATATTTTTATTTTATACTGATAATTTTAATTTTGTATTTGTAAATCAATGTATTTTTTTGTATTTTTATATTTAATGGTAATTTATTATGTACTATTGTATTTCAATGTATTTTATCATGTTGTAAGCCGCCCCGAGGTTTCGGCAAGGGGCGGCATAGAAATGTTATAATAATAATAATAATAATGATAATGATAATGATAATGATAATAATAATTTTCAGGTACTTAATGAAAGAGCATCAGTTCGTGGATTGACTGAAATCCAGAGTTAGTGGATCATTAGAGAACTGAGTGCAAGCAATGTGGGTGAATGATTTTTTCACTGTTACAAAGTTGGGCACAATGGCTGTTTTGTTCTTTTTAGAACTGAGAACACAAAAGCCAGGTCCTGTCATGATACCACTGATAAGTGTGTAATTAGCAGGGGCCTGGTTTGGTCCAGATTAGGATGGGATTGATCACTCACCTGCTTCTTCCTATTAAATAATGGAAAATGCATCCCTTTAGCAGTGATACCCTCTGTGATGTAGTTAGAGCACTGTAACACAAAAGATCCAGGTTCTAACTGCCACTGGGTGACTTTAGGCCAGTCACTGACTCTCAAGCTAGCCTACCCCACAGGGTTGTTGGGAGGATAAGAAGGAGAAGAGGAAGATCATGTAAGCTATCCTATTTATCTAGTTGTTCATTTGTTGAATTTCTGTCCTGCCCCCTTAGCCTGGCTCTCAGGGTGGGTTACAAGATATAAGTCAAGAAGCAAATAGTATTAAATTAAGAAAGATAATCTTGGCCTCCTTGGAGGAGGAAAAGGATGGGGAATAAATGTAATAAATACATTTGCTGCAGCTGGTAGGGTGTAGATAGCTGGTGGTGCAGGGGTAGCAGTGTGGCTCATGGCTGGAGCAGCCCTGCCTGTAAAGAGTCGCTTTCTGTCTCTGGCAAAAGCAAACCTGTCACCAGCTGAGTGGGGAGGAAGCGAGAAGAGCGCAGCAGAAAGCAAGGCAGATGCGCTGGGTGGAAGGGCTTTGGCTCTGCCCATCGCTGGCATGTGAACTGAGGGAACACAACCCTCAACAGAGGAAGGTTTCTGCAGCCCTGTTTTGTTATGTCATGAGGAACTAAGGAGATTTCTAACATTGTTGTCATCAAGAGGTCAAAATTACTCCCTCCGCTTCAAATATTGTCACCCTTAGGTGGAGGGAGAGAACGGAAAGCCAGAGTGATGTACTGGTTAGAATGCTTGGGTGGAAGTCAGGAGAACCGGGTTCTAGTCTCCACTTCGGTGACTTTGAATGACTCACTAATTGAGGATAAATGAATGTGAGGATCAAATGGAGAAGAGACATGTCATGTGGGACAAGACAAAGGCAGGAAAGGCATACATAAATAAATAGGCCACGTGGTGCTGTCATTGATAGTAAGGCTTCTTTTGTCCTCTACTTACTCATTTCAGTATGTTTGAAAAACCTTTTTTAGGGTAGGGCTGAAAAAAATCCATCCTTTTATGCATTCTGTAAAGTCTAATGTTCAGGGCACACTTACGTGTTTCCTCTGGTGACCTTCTGCCAACTCAAGTGGAGAACTTTTGGGTTAAAACTGGGATCCATTTTATAACCTGCTCCTTTAGAGTAAGAGAGAGCTTAAAAATTTGCCACATCTTGTGCTGCATCTCCCTCTCTCCCTCTCTGTGTGTGTTTCTCTTTGTCTTCATGCACGCATACCCATAAATCCCTAAACTGTAAGTTTTTGACTTGGATATGAGTACTGACTGGGCGCAGGTTTCCATATGAAAACTGAGATATTACATCTTGCAAGTGGTCTGTACCATCTCAGCTAGTGGATGGATTTACTGTTTAAATAATTATGCCAACACATGTGCCCCCAAATTCCAGCGTAATCTGAGGTTTTGTGGTGTGCCATCTTAGCAGCTAGCGGCCCTCTCATCCTAATGCTTATCTGCTTCTGTGGTGAGCCTTAGCCATTAAACCATTAAGTTCTTTGAATTCCTAGGACTGAAATTCCTAGGGAATATCTTGCATTGCTCAGCATTTTCCGCTTTGTTTTGGCCTGATGCCGTGGTGTGGTACTTGCTCCAATAATCCTTTATTCTAGCCTGGCTGACATTTGAACACCCACTATTTGACTAGAGAGATTTAAATCTTTATCCCACTCAAATCCATCTGTTGCACTCTGTAATTAAAAGCTCCATGCAGCTCACCTCTGAACGCTGGTTTTGCTTGCTTTTGGTGGTCCACTAACACATGGGAGTAATTCCAAATATTTCTTTAAAAAATAAAGCCAGATGCAATGTTCTGTTATCGCATTACTCCATATACTATTAAGTGCATTTTTGTATATGTCCGCATGGCATGCTTTGCACGTTTTTATAGCCAAAAGAATCTGTGGAGAAATGCTAGCTATGTGGGCTAGCTGGCTTGTAACATGCCAAGGTATCATTTTGGCATAATGGATCGCCATTATGCAGGAACCACACAGCACAAATGGATCATGAGCTCACAGCTTCCCATTACATGTGCGCTCAACATGACAAAGCATTCAGCGGATGCAGCACTGCCTTTTCCATCATTGCAGGTGAAAGAATGGGCAGAGAGGAAGTCTGCGAAATGTCCCACAGAGAAAGCAACAAAAAGACAACATACCACAGAGATATTCAGATGCTCAAGTGCTACCAGGGACTGGGAGGTGAAGGCATTTCAAGGAACTGTCGTTGCAAAGCTGCTGGAACACTCGACAAAGCAAAAGAATAGAGCAGAAGGGTGGTGGGAGTTTCAGAGAGCATCAAGGCCTGCTTCGGAGGGGGGGGGGGAGCCAAGAAGGGGGGAAATGGAATCTAGAGTATCCAACGCAGTTGATTTCATGCGGTGCTTAAGAGGAGGGGGAAGGAAAAGAAAAGGCAGTGAAAGCTTTTAAAAATAATAAAAAAATGCCCCCTCCTCGCAAATTGCTTTTCCTCCTTTTTTCCCCTCTTTTGGTGTTTTTGCAGGGACCACATGCAGTGGTCACGGGAAGAAGAAGAAAGAGCCAGAGAAAAAGCTGTCAAAAATTCACTTGTAAGAGTTTGCTCCGAGATGCAAGGTAAAGTTTCCCTTAAAAAGTGAAGGCAGTACAATACAATGCAGCTTTTCTTATGCCTACATTCTAATGCTTAGTGCCACAGTCCCCTCATTTTCCTATATTTTATATTAAAAATGACAACTGTTGCTTTGTTTCACGTCAAGCTTGCCATTTTTTAGCAGCTCCTTCTGCCTGGACTCCAGGCATGGTCTCACCTGCTCTCTCCTGGCTGCACACTGCCCTTTGGAGCAATTGTAGGATGTGTGTTGTTGCTGCGCAAAATGAATGTGTATGTTAATGTGATTTTGTAAGCTGCGTTGATGATGTAATTCTTCATAAAATTAATAGATGTTGGTTCAGTACAGGAATCTGCACATTAAAATGGACCAATGAAAATAATCCTTCTTGATCTTATCCAGGCAATTTCATATTGTGATCCACAAAGTCATTTATGCCGTTGCCATTCTGGGGAGTTATTTGGAGAAGCAATAGCAGTAGAATCTAGGATAATTGGGAACATGCCAAAAATAGCAAGTGGTACTGTCTTTCTTGGTGCCTAAATGCATGTAAAGGAGAAAGCATTTAGCAGAGCACCTGCAGTCTAAAGGTGCAGGTTCCAGGGAAGACTGTACCACACAGTGCCATGGTGGGGGGGGGGCAGGAGATTAAATTAATAAGTTTCATTGTTACCTTAGTTTTCCTGTATTCATGTTTATACTCTAGCTTTCAATTCATATTCTCAAAGCAGCATACAGCAACATATTGTATTATTCAAAAGTTAGAATATTACAAACAGGAGGCAAAATTTGGCAGGCACTGGTCTTTGTCACAAAATGGAAAAGAACAGTCTTTATGGCTTGCTGAAAAGGACCTAAAAACAGATCTAGAAGTGAAGCTGGGGGTGGAGGGGGTTTTTCTGAAGCCCTGGATTCAGTACAGAAACAACCCTGTTCCTAGTTTATTAGGCTCTGTTCATTTATAGAATACAGTCTCTTGTTCAGTTCAACTGGAACCCCCAGAATAAAAATAAACCAATGAAAACACAGAATGCAGTTCCTGGTAGGTTCTATCTTAATAAGCAGAGCTTAATATTTACCATTTGGGGGTTGGGAGACACATGGGGAAAGGTGCTTCTGGACCCAATCCATGGAAGGCTTCAAAGGTTGCCAGCAGTACCTTGAATTTCACCATAAAACTAAATGATAAGCTCATAATGTAGCTCATTTAAAAACCAGTGGAGCTTCTTTAATATGATCTAGTGTGCGCCAATCAGCTGGCTCCAAGCAACAGTGGAGCCATTGCGTTTTAGACCAGATACCATTTTCAAATGGATTTGGAAGGGTCTTGGCTCAGTGGTAGCGTTGCATGTAGAAGCTTCCTGGTTCCATTCCCGCTGCCTCTCATTGTTTGTTTATTGCATTAACCATTTATAGTCCAAGTGGCTCACCAACAAAACAATAAAATGCACAAAACACTGTAAAAAGAATGCAGATTGTCGGGCTCAGGTGAGAAACATCCCTGCCTGGGAACCTTGAGCACCCCGGCCCATCCGGGGAGACAGTACTAGGCTAAGAGGGCAAAGATCTAGATGCAGTATAAAGCACCTTTCGATGTTCCTGTGTCTTCAAGGGTTGCCCTGTGTGGAGCCCTTAATGACAGTCAAGCCTGGGTGTTCCAGAGCAATGGAAGGAGGGGTGCAGCTGGCGGATGATCCAATTCTCCAGAGAAAGTCAGTCCTGGATGCAGCCTACCCATGAACATGCAGAAACTTTTTTCGAACAAGTTCCTGCATGTTCATGGGTAGGCTGCATCCAGGAGTGACTTTCTCTGGAGAATTCCTTTCTTTTTGAGGAGGCGTGCTGTCATCCAGAACAAGCATGGGCCATGAAACAAAACCACTTGTCCAGATTGTGTTTGGCTTGTGATAATTCAGTGGTCAAAAATGTTCCCTGCGGTTTGAATCGACTGGGGGAAGCCGTGCAGGGTCTATAACGGGGGTGGCCAGACTTGCTCAATGGAAGAGCACAAGTGGGAGCCCGTGGGCCACGGCAGCACGAGAAGCAGCAAGCGGGGGCATGGGGGGGGGTGGACAGTGAGCGGCAAGCGGGTGCCTGTGAGCACCTGCAGCAGCGAGTGGCAAGCCACAGAATGAACTCAAAGAGCTGCGTGTGGCTCCCGAGCCTTGGTTTGGCCACCCCTGATCTATAGTGTATGCCACCTACTGGGAGCTTTGTATTGTGCCTGGAAACAACAGCTGCAAAATGGAAAAGCCGCAATAACCTACTGAACAGACTGGCTGCAACATCCTGGGGTGTTTATGCTAACAACAGCCTTGGCCCCGGTTTATGCTACAGTGAAATGTTTTGCTAGCATGTAGCTTAACAGCTTCCACACCTGAATGGTTGATGCCCAACTCTGCCAGACAGTGCGTATCATCACTGGCACATTGCATCCCACCCACATGCATGGGCTACCAGGACTCAGCGACATCACCCCCCCCCCCCCATTAGAAGACGGCATGCTCTCGCTCGGTTATGGTCAAGGATGCTGAATAAGAAGGCCTTCCCTATTCATCAGGATATTGCACAGACCACCACAAGGCTGAAATCTCGTAGGCCAGCTTAGAAAAGAGTCATTTCTGTTACATCTACCCGGTGCAACCCTGAGAACACCTGGAGAGAGGAATGGAGCAAGTTGCCTTATTGCGGCTTGGACACTGGTGATCCCTCTTCCAAACCCCCTGGCTACAACCTGCCTCGCTCTGTCTGGACAAAATTGAATAGAAATAGATGTGATGCTGGAAGGAATGCCTCTGCTCTGTATCGATGGGGATGGAAAGATCCGCCTTGTTGTGCCTGTGGTGCTGATGTGCAGCCTATGAAACATACTGCACAAGAATGCCCAAGACGTGCATTTCCTGGCTCCTTAGAACTGCACGAAGCAGCACCAGAGGCGATCGCCTGGTTAGCTGGACTAGGCATGCAGCTATGAGACTACTGCTGTACCCTTGCAGAAGTGTTGTATATATTTGTGTGGACTGTGTGTATATATTGATTTTTTGTCTTGACATGAACTCATCATACCCTAAATAAAATAACAATAGTGCTATGTCTATATTAATGTCGGTTGGCAAAGATACAGTTGCCTTTGCTTGGATACCTTTGGCCTCAGGCTCTTAAGAAGGTGGGTAAGGATTGTGCAGGGTTGCTTTACGAAGGCGTTCCCAACCTGGTGCCCTCTAAAAGGACTGGGATGTACAAAGAGTTTAGCTTTACTCTGTTGTGATGATGCTTTTGCTTTTCTGATGATGCTTTTTTGCTGTTCTTAATACATTGTACACACCCCATTGTGTGTGTGTATTTCTTCCCCCTCATTTCTCCCAGCCAATGAAGTACAATATACATATTCAAAGTTTACTTTCATATAACCTTTCTGCTTAAATTCTAAAATAGGAATAAGTACAAACTTGCAAGTTACATTCTTCCTAGCCTTTTAAAGATTAATTGAAACATGGTTAGCATTCAGTAGAAATTAAATAACCGGAGTGCAGGCAGTAGCCTATTGCTGAGCTATATGGAACTTGAAAAACCTTTCCTTTTATCCCATTATGAATGCCAGTATGTTCCAAATAGGAATAGGCGAGCACTGGCAATAGTGTTTCCTCCAAATGCTTCATCTTCTTTCCGCGTGTGGCAGCACATTTTGACCTATTTATTGTTAACAATGAGCCAGGCTGAAACTAATGAGCAGGTTATTTTAGGCCCTTGGAAATCACTGTAAAAAGCACTGTATAAAGCCATGCATAAAAGGCAGCATTTCTCTGAGGTGTTGCAACGCTACCTAAAAGAAGGACTGTGCAGGACCCCAGTGGAGACGGAAGAAAAAGAACGTCTGCACTGACAGACTTGCAAGCACGGTGTGTGCTTATTAGCATGGGCAGCTGCTTCTCGGGCGTACTTGTTAGGCGAGCAGGAGCAGTTGTGTTGTTTCTCATTAAGGGATGCAGTGCTTTTGTGTTATCTCTGTGGCCTGGTTGGCCCATAACAGCCAACCCTGATTAGTTAGGGGCCAGGTGGGGGCGAGCGACTGCACTGCCTCTTGGTTGCTTACCACCACAGGTTTGTTTCCAGTTTACATCAGCCTGTTCCTGGGTTGTGCTCAGTGATGCTGTGAATCTGGGACTCTGGATTGTTGAGGAAACAGCAACCTCATTTTAACCCAGCAACAAATTTATTAGCATATAATGCTAAGCTATATTTTCATGTTATCGATGGCCACTGTGAATTTGGCTGCAAGAGCTGGCACATTGTACAGGTACCAGTGGATATAGTTCCTATGGGAATCCTTCTTGCTGTGGCTTGTTGTGTGGTGCAAATGCAGGTACATTAGACAACCCTCAAATAACCTAAGGCTTGTTTGAGGGTTAGTTGAAAGATGTCTTACTCTCGAACTAGCCTTGCTATCTGGGTCTGCTCAGCACAGAAATTGCACCTGTGGGCACTCTCACAATACAGAGATAAATTATAGGCTGTTGTAATCTGCAGATAAGCCCAGTTCATGGGTAAAGCAGCACACCATGGTTAACATAAATCATGGGTTAGAGTCATATGCAAATATAGCCAGTATGATGCAAATTGCTTTTCTCACAGGCAATAGAAAAACCCTATTATCTGTGACCTCATGCTTACATATTGAACCTTGATAATTTTATGGTTGTCTATCCATCATTGGATTCTCCATTTTTATTTTTTGATCAGTCATGCTTAACGTTAACTATTTTATCGATCTTTTATATCTGCTATGTTCTTATGTGTGTTTATTTTTTCTTAATCTAGATAAATATGAGAATGATGCTAGTAAATATTGGAATGAATTTTACAAGACCCATAAGAACCGTTTTTTTAAAGATCGCAACTGGCTTTTCTTGGAATTTCCAGAAATTCTCCCAGAAGGAAAGTATAACTATTCTGTAAAAATGGATACAACAACAAAAAACTTACCTCATTTCCAATGTACGGGAATACCAGAAGACAAGTGTCTTTGTGAAGATAATTCTGTTTTAAAAGTTTCTTCTGCACATGGAAACAATTTCAGCCCATGTTATGACTATTCTGCAGCTGATGACCAAAGTGCCAAGTGTTTTGAAAAGCAGTTCCCTGGTAGTGATGCTGCTTACCGAATATTAGAGGTACGGTAGGCCTTAATTCTTTATCTAATGCCTCCTTCCTGGAATGTTGGCACATACGCAGAATTGTGTTAGTATACATGTGTGTGTAACTATCTGAGAATTTCAACTTAGATCACAGAAGTTAACAAACTAATCTGGTACATACTCTCCCCTTAACTTCAGCTGCTCTTTAAAAACCAATAAGGTTTGAAAACCTAATCTTCTAGCAGGCCTGAAGTACAACATTTGTGTTCTGAATAGGATGTAATAGAATAGAGCATTTTAGTAAGATTCAAAGATTCAACTCTGTTTAAAATATATATATTGCCACTATGCTTTATTTCTTGCTTCTCTTTTAAGGCTAGAAGCTGGCTATAGGTTTTACATGTTTTCTGTATTTATATTATAGAAATACATATTATATTATGTATTATATTCATTTTAATACATTTAAAAATGTAAAGAAGAATTTTAGAAGAAATCTTTAAGTTTTGAGTGGCTACCATAAGTAAAGTGACTTCTTGACCTGTCAAACAAGTTGAAGCCTTTCCCCTTGAAATGTTGTTTAGGCTACATTTTGAGGGGAACTGTTCTGCTTTCATTATCATAAGTTGTTTGTTACATGGTACAATATATGCCTTTTGTACTATTTTATGTAACCTGCTTAGAGATTTATTAAACAACATGGAAGTACTGTAAGTAAATAATATTTGAAACCATTTGGATTCAAATGTTAATGCATTGTGACTTTTTCCCCATTTGCTTCTCTTTACTTCCAGGTTGGCTGTGGTGCTGGAAACAGTGTTTTTCCAGTTCTGAAAGCTATTCGGTAAGCTTTCCCACTTCAGAGGAAAAAATAATATGCTACAACAATGCTATGAGAACAGCTGGTTTTCCATAACCCATGTTAAGGAGGTTTTCTGTCAGTGACAGTAGTATGTTTATACAGCTGATCTTACAGACTCAAGGGCTCATTCCCATCAATAATATGAAGAAAGGGGATTCTTCTGCTTAAGGGAATTATTAATGCCAATATAACCAATGTTATGATTTTGATCTTGTACAGAAGTGGTGAACAGCAGCTCTTGACATGCATATGACCATATATGATAGTGATCTGGTTCATGGATCACACGTTGATTGTTTGGTCTCCCGTCCTATGTTTAGTTGAATGTGTGAGAGGATTCTGTTAAAAGTGTTGTGTTCTGAGGCAATGTGAAGCAGTATGAAAACTCTGTCTCTGGTGTCTGCTGTGTGACGGCTTACTCAACCTCTCTCCTGAGGTTACAGTCCCCAAATCATGAGCATGCCATAGCCAACTATCAGAGAAACTTCTCTTCCACATAAGGGCTGCCAGAATCACATTACGCTTGCCAGGCATCGAAATTCATTGCATGCTGAGGTCTTTCAAAGTTAGAGTTAGGACCACATTGGGTCACCTTAGTGTGGGATTAGGCCAAGGACCACAGGTTGCCTCCTCTTGTCATAAAACATACTTTCTATTCCTCTGTTCCATTCCTTTCTGTCCCGTTCCTTAACTTCTAATGAAAACAAATTTATTGTGCTAGACTAATGTGAGGCACAGATATTAGTCCTGAAGTTAGACTTTCACATTTATTTCAATGGAGAATGAATTTGCTTACATAATTACAACCCAGAGTATGTCATTGGTTTATGAAGTAGTGGTCGTTTTTGAATAGTGGATTGTCATTATGTGTGAACTGTGTACTAGTTGATAACCACACGCAACCCATGACTTGTTACTGGGTTGTGAACTCTGGGTTGTTCATGGGTAGCAATACATAGTTAAGCCATAGTGCAGGGTTTTCCCATCATGGAACTCCACAATTCAGCAATAACCTGTACTCAACCTTTGAGCAGGTGGTTGTTATTGAGCAGTTTCACATTATTTCCCTTGTCCCTCCTGTTTTCCATTTCCCCCCCATAACTGACTTAGTAGATGACATACTTGCAGATGTATCATCAGTAGAAATGCTTTCAGAAAAGCAATTGCAGAACTAATGTTTATTTTTTATTTCTCACCCTCCCCCTGCCACCTCCACAGCCAGAACCCTAGAGTATTTCTGTATTGCTGTGATTTTGCTTCAGGAGCAGTGGAGCTCATCAAGGTATTTGACATATCATCTTCATTTTCCAGAGCATGTGGCATCCTCTCTGACTTTTGGGTTCAGCAGCTGGCACAATAAGCATTTTGAAGACCCAGAGTCCAAATGTTACTATAACTTGGAACTTACTTCTTTTTCTTCCTGCACTTCATCATTGTACAGAAGTGCCTTCCCCAACCTGGTGCACTCCTGATGTGTCAGACTACAATTCCCATCGGTGGCAAGTGCGGCACCGGTCAACACAGCTGGAAGACACCAGCTCAGGAAAGGCATCTGCACAGAGAACAGATCAGTTGCTCTGAGGCTGTTTCTCTGGGGTTAGCACTTGCAGTCACCTGGCCTGAGGATGCTATGGAAAGCCATACATTGTTTTGGGGCTAGAGACCAGAAGGGCAGCTTTCTCACCCAAACTCTTCCCCATGCACATCATTCAGAATCGGAGGTCTTGCGCTGTGCCCACCTGTGCCTGGTGTGGGGCAGTAGGCCATGAGAGCAGGGCTTTTTTGGTGGTGGTGTCAGCTTTCCAGAATGCCTTCTTTAGGGAACTGTACACAGTCCGGTGTTTAAGTGATGCCTGCTGAAAAATGGGCTTTTCCGGAAGGCTTACATGAAAAGCTATTTATTGGTGGTGGTTGCTTTTTTACAGCTCTTTTCTGCTGTTTTAATGGGGTTATGCAGTTGTGCTTTTCTTTGAAGAACAGCAGGATATACTTCTATGAAAAATCTATAAAAATATTGAACATGTGAAATGTTGCAAGCAACTTGGAGCTTCTGTACACATGTCTCTTAGAGATGAGAAGGCCCAGAAGAGAGAAGGGGGGGCACAAAGTGTTTTCCTCATTTTTCCCTACAAAGGACTCTTTTTTTCCCCAAAAAAATTGAGCTATGTTGGATTATGAAACATTTTCCTTTAGATTTTAAGACAGGAAAGTGATTGTATACTGCTACTCAGCTTTTCCTCCGCAAAATGATTTCTAAAAGCTATATAATAAGAAAGAGTACTTTTATAGAAAGACTAGAGATGTAAAATGTCTGGCCATAATGAAAGCACTGGGATTTTTTTTTCTTTTCTGTAAAATCCACGGCATAGTTATTTCCTATTCCTTCTTTGAATTATTGATCTAATGTATCTTTTATTGATAGAGATTTAGGAATGCTCCAAGCCATGGTCAGTTTCCCAACATATGAGTAGAGCCACCATGTCATCCCATGTGCGTTCCTGACAGTTTTAGATTTTGTTCTATAGAGTCCTGCATTTCTGGGCATGTTCTGTTCCGGCGCTGTGGCAGTCCATTACTTTAGTTGCCATCTAAAACCCAGTTGTGGAAAAAAGCTGCAGGTTACCTGTTATTCTTGTCAGATGCAATAGAACAGCATGTGGGTTATCCCATTTATGCTTCTTTTTAAAAATTAATTTAGAGGCTTGCATCTACAGAACTCATTGCTGCAGTTTTTAATAAAGGGGGGAATCCAACAGGGTGCTTATGCCCCCCACTAGTTCCCCTCCGCAAGCAGTGGCTCCTGCCAATTTTCATAAGCAAGAACCATCACTTATGCATGGGATATTGAGCACGTCCTAAGGGAAGCCCTACAACGAGCAGAAATGCTCATTTCCACTAATCTTGGGTTACCCCAGAAGCACTACGTGACAAGAGAATGCTGCCAGGGCTGTAAAGCTTTTTAACTGCTGCTGCTACACTAAGCCCTCTCTCCCAAAAGAAACTCCGTAGCCTGGCTCCTGTTGTGTAGGCACAGGATCGGGACGTCTTCTGCAGACCACATCTTAGAATGGACAAAAACTAAGATGCTGTTTACAGAAGTGGGTGACATGTCACTCTTCAAAGGATAAGAAGAGATTGATGAAGGTTCTTAACCTAAATATGGTTGCTTCCCATTCCTAAGCACAAGGTTTATTTCCAGCTAAATCAAATCTCACTAGCTTTTCCGTCAGATCAGATGTCCCTGAGCTTCACCCCACAGCATCAGCATCGTCATCATTGCATTACAGTTATGTCTCATCTTTCTTCCTCTTGCACAGATCCCAAGGGTACAAAGCCCTCTTCCTCTCCATTTTATCCTGACAACAACATCCCCATGATGTGGGTTAGCTGAGAATCAGTGACCTGCCCAAAGTCACCCTATGAGCTCCATGGCTTGAACCTGGATCTCCCAAGTTCCTGACCAGTACTCTAACCATTACACTGGATCTCAGGTTAGGACTTTCCCTATATTTTTTATAAAAATAGGAACAGATGTTACATACCAGTCTTCCTCTACCTCCACTTCTTCCTGCTTCTTCTGGCTTCTAGGTTGAATCATATTTTTCAGGGACCACTTATCCATGTTTTCCTTTGGTTGGACATGAAATGGGAAGCTAAAACATATTTTAAAATTAAAGAAGGTTTTACATTTAATATTACAAACATAATGTTATGAGCAAACCAAGTTATATATAACATGACTTTGGGAATGCAAAGGCTGCTTTATGTTCTTAGATCTGATTGCTTCCAGATATTTTGGACTATTGTGCCTACCATTCTTGATCAGTGGCCATACTGAAGTCCAAAATAGCTGGAGAAACCAGGTTGGTGAAGGCAGGCCTAAAGCAGCAACTGACTCTGTGAAAAGCACTGAAGATTCCCCCTCCAAATTTTTATTTTTATTTAAAACTTATTTTAATTGTTAATTTATTTATTTAACTAGTTTTTTTTTAATTTTTAGCCAAGAATGCACTGAGGTTTTATTGAGGTTTTATGGCACTGGGGTTTTATTGTATTGGGGTTTTATTGTATGGTTTATTTATTGATGTTGTGAGCCGCCCCGAGGCTTTTTGCGATGGGGCGGCATAGAAATGTTTTAAATAAAATAAAATAAATAAATTTCTTTTTTTCTCCCAATAACTGCAAAATTCTGGGAGATTTTACATCTCTAGTCATTCTGTATGTCATAGTTAGGGGATATAATCACATAGATACAATGGCTTCACATGTGATGGCTGATTATATTTATATTCCTCCATTTCTCCTGGGAGCCTTGTGTAGTATACTCACTTGCGCGCTCTCTCTCTCTCTCTCTCTCTCTCTCTCTCTCTTCATCTGCATCAGGAGGTACACATGAATCTGAGCCTCTCTCTCATAGTTTACCATGTGCACCATCTGTAACCAGCACCCAAATAAACAGTCCAAACAATTGTAGAACAAAGCTGGAGGGTTGGTTTGCTCTTGTCAGGAAGGAAGGAAGGATGGAAGGAACATACTTGGTAGGCCCAAGTGGCAGCTGGGTTGCTGCCTGGGCAATTCTTTTCAGGGGCATCCATCCCTCGGTGGTGGGACTGAGCTTTGTGCACTTTGTACAAAGGAGGTCACTCACCGGCATCTGAGTAGGGCTGGATGTATTCTTGACTGAAACCCTTGGGAGCCACTCTGGCGGAATCCACTGACCTGTGCTCTGGCTTGGTGAAAGACAGCTGCTGGAGTAAAGTCTCCACAGGGACCGTGTTATTATGTTAACATGAGAGAAGAGGTTGTGGTGGAGAGAAGAGTCGGCCATGTTAGCATTTTCCCTCAAGAAAGCTTGCTGGTAGTTGCCAAGGCAGCTTGAAAAGTGAACAAGCACCCTATTTAGTGGGTGTCTCCAAATAAAATTGCATATTTAGTAGGTTGCAAGCTTTTTACAATATGCTTCTTCAGTCTACTCCAGAGCATTCTTTAAGGAAGTCCGCTCCTTCCAGGTTTCTAGTAGATGTTAGAGAAGCGCCTTCTGGTGTGGGGGAACGTGGCAACTCCTTTTCTCGTCCTTACTGGGACTGGCTGATACTGTCAGCAGAATAAAGCTTTTTTGGGGGTTGCACATCCTCAAGTGAGAGCTTAGAAAGCATCAGTCCATTGGCTTCTCTGGATCAGTATTGTCAGCAACAGATGTTCTGGCCTACAGCTCCCATGCGTCCTCACCATTGGCTATGCTGGCCAGGGCTGATGGGAGTTGAAGGCCAAATTGCACGGATTGCCTGCCTGACACCAGCTCTCCAGGATTTCAGGCGGGAGATTTCTCAGCCTCACAAACAGATGTTGCAGACTGAACCTTCTGTGTGCACAACAGTGGGTCTGCTGCTGAGCATCATTCCTTGCATTTGTCCATGAACTCTCTCCCTATTGATACTGAGCAGGCTGGGGAGAAGGGGATCAGCATGTCACCTGCAGCCATAAATGAGAGCGTAATTCAAGCAAAATCCTTTGTGATGCATTCTTCTGCATTTTTGTATAAACTGGCCTGGGGTGCATTTAAAAGGGGGAATATGCATCATAGGGAATGTTCTAACAGTTTGGATTTCTCTGTTTGGTCTCATCACGGGGACTGCCATAGTTGCACTCGTGCTTTGATGCTTCCCGGTGTTTCGCTTTTGTTCACAACGTGTGCGATGATGCCTCGCCCTACCCCTTCCCAGATGAGAGCCTGGATGTTGTTCTCCTCGTCTTTGTCCTCTCTTCAATTCATCCTGACAGGTAAATGAAGACTGAAAGCAGGGGAGGGCAAGAGCAAATGCGGTCAATGTCTCTTTCTCCATTTGTCTCTCAGGAGTGCTTTTGAGGTGTACGAGGGATGATGAACGGCCCTGAATTCTCTTGCATATAGGGCGTTTTAAATCCCACTGCTCTGCCGTCCATAATGGTGAGCAGGACAAAAGAGGGCTTCATTAGCGAGCCGAGGCACTTCTGTGACAAGATAGACAAGATACATAGTTATCAAAGACTGTGGGTGACTTCTTAAGAAACAGCACGTGCACCTCGACAACCAGATTGCTATTGTCATGCTTCGGAGGTATTCTCAGCTTTGTTCTCCATGCAGCTGAGCTATCTGAACTGCCTTGCAGAGAGGATCTGTTTGCCACATAGCATATCTCTTCCTGTTTGTTTAGAGACAAGCACATGACTCATGTGCAAAAGAAGGGTTTACCAAGTCTGGCCGAGAATGGCGAGCAAGATAGATTCCCCCTCTGCTTTCTCAGAAGCCAAGTACGCCCAAGATTTCTGCGAATACTTTCACAACTAGCTTTTCAAGCAGAGCTTCAGAAGCCCTCCATGTGTTGGTGGCCTTCAGCTCCCTCATCTCTGACCTTTGGATATCTGGAAGGCTTTGGTAGGAGACAGCCCTGCCGAAAGGGGTTAAAGCTTGCCCGACCCCGTCCACCGATCAGACTGAGGCTGGAACACTTACCTGGGAGTAGCTGCGTCGCACACAGGAAGACTTGCTTCTGCGTGAGCACAAATAGGCAGTAAATGGCAGTGCTGAGCTGCTCTTCCCACACTATTTTGTATGAGAATATGTTCCACTTTTCCAAGCAAGTATGCTAAACTGAGTGTCTTCATGCGCTTAGCTTGCCGGTCTTGCTGCACAGACCTTAACACAGTCTTGTTCTGATTCCAGAGGTTAAAGCACAATCCTATGCATGTTTGGGCCAAGAAAGTCCTACAACTCCCAGCATTTCCCCGCCAGGTACAAAGTACTTAAAAGCACTAGCGCTTGCAGTACTACATGAGACTCGCAGCCCCTAGAACACTATAAGGCACAGCCTCCCACAGAAAGGGACTAGGCAGCTAAAGAATCTTCCATTTGTGGAAGGGGAATATGGGTAGGCCAGAGAATTTTAACCATGGGTAACCTATAGACAAAGGGGTACGGAGCACTCTAGCTTTATGAAACTATAACAGGGGAAATAGTCTCGATCTGACATTTCTCCTCCAACCTCTAGTATTCTTAGCATAGGTTTTTATGTGTCATAATAGAATTGGCCCAAAAGATAGAACAGAGATGGTGGTTTATATTTTCTTCCGTTTCACTCTCTTTGATGCTTCTGCAAATGACCCAAATAGGAAACTGCCAGTTGTAGGCTGTTGATGGCAGGCTAAGGCGTGCCAACCTGGAGAGTGTCCCCAAACCAGCAATGAAGATCCCAAACGTATTGCTAAGCAGAGGAAAGCAAGAAAGCAAGAAAGCAAGAAAGAAGGAAAGACAGACAGACAGACAGACAGACAGACGCCAGCCTTATGACAACCTCCTATTAATCTTGCACATAGTTAACATACTCAACCCCCTTTGTGTTTATTTCAATAAACGTTTGATGTTCCTTGTCGCTTAATGTTACTTCTTGACAGCTAATTTTAGCTCTTTGTGTTTTTTGCCTTTGCTGCTTATTTTAGCTGTTTGCAAATGTGTTTTCATGATTGGACATTGCTTTGAATGCTCCTTACGAGCAGCTTTGAGCAACTCCTTTTCTGGTGATGGGGGTGGGAAGCAGGGCACAAGTCCCTTTAGAGAAATACAGCCTGGCACATGAGTAACCTCTTTTCCAGATGCTAATTCTGAGCGGGTTGTGGACTGAGTTCCCACAGGTTCCTGACTGGGGTTTAGAATCAAGAGGCAGCCGACCATCTCTTCTATGTGTTTCTTGTGGCAAGGGGCCTGTTCTCCAGGGAGGTGCCTCAAAGCTGCTGCCTAGGGCTCCTGCTGCCCAGGGCCCTCCCAGGTGGCCATCCAGGGAGCAGCCGGTGAAGGAGGCCACCACAAGCAGGCCCAGCATCACCCCTGATCCAGCGCAGGCATTCAGTGGCCCGCCAAGGCCGCTTGTTGCGGTGCTGCTCCTCCTCCTCCGAGTATTTCAGAGGTAGAGAAGAGCTGACTGAACATGGCCAGGGCTACAGGTGCGCACTGTATTATTTGTGTTTTTAAAGTCTAGGAATTATTTTCTACAAGAAAATGGAGCTTATTTCCACGTAATTGCATTTAGGCAGAAGCAAGCTTTTTTTTAATTCCTGAAGTCACAATAATGCTGTGATTTAAATGAGCATAACACACACTACCATCTTTCTGTCTGTCTGTCCTTCAGAAAGGCTAGCAAACAGACTTTTGTTTTGCCAGCTCTGACGCACCAGGGATGTCCAGCCAGCAGTGAGGCATAGAATGGTGGGGAGGGGAGAAGAGCAGTGTTGATGGTACTCTTCACAGCTCCAGTAATACAACACAGGCATTGAAAGCAGCCCCTGCCACCTGCTCCCCACCCCAGTGAGCTCTTTATATCCAGGGTCCAGCAAGACCTCATTGCGCCACTGGCTGGCCTCTTTTTGCACAGGGTCCAAGGAGTCGTCAACAGGCTGGCCAGATTATTGAAACCTGGAGGGATGATGCTCTTTCGAGACTATGGAAGATATGATGTTTCACAGCTTCGTTTCAAAACAGGTATGCTCAAGAGACAGCTGCTTTGTTTGCTTACTTGTGAGTCATCAGTGGAAACAGCATAATTTCCCCTTGTTTGGGGTTGTTCTTTCCTTTTAGGCAGCTGTCTGTCAGAGAACTTCTATGTAAGAGGTGATGGTACCAGAGCATACTTCTTCACAAAAGGTATCGGAGGGCAGCCCTATGGTGGGATGATGCTAGGAGACCTAGAGAATGAGAGGGGCAGAAGGAAGACTGCTTCCCCATTGTATTAGTTGTAGAAAACAGGATTCCTACCAGCTCCATTTTGGTGCGGGAGTTTCTGGCTGTTAAGGATGGGATACATGAAGCAGGGAAAACATGAGTGGCTGTCACAGTGGCCCGGTTTGCTCAGCCAGCGATGCCCACCGTGGGCTGTTTAATCCATGGTAAGCTGCCGCTCATGCAGACAGTTTTTGAATATTTGAGCTGTGGCTTGTGTTGTTCCAGCCTGCGTGGTGGAGGGGTGCGAGTATTAAACCACTCTTGCATAACCCTGGCATCCTCACGCCACAACGCACCATGGTTTAAAAAAAGCAGCCACATGTCTTTTTCACGGGATAAATGGGAAGGGGCAGGTGTGAATTGAAGTCACAGGATGGGAACATTGTGATCCATGGTCGTTTTTTAAGACGTGGTGGGCTGTGTCACGTGCCTGTAGATGTGGATGGACATTTTAAATGTTCGAGCAGTGGCCATAGCTTGTCCTGTTGCCTGAACCTGGGCAGCAGGGGTTGTGGGAAGGTTTGACAACCACTACCTTGCAGATTATCCCCGTGACATATTTTTAATGTATTCACGTGTGTACAGTTCTGCTTCCCTTCGTCTCTTGAGCCTACATTCCTTGGCATGTATCTGTGCAGAGTGTGGCAGGGCGGTTAAAAAAAGATCTCACTATAGATCTAAACAGCCCATGGCTGCTTTCCGGGCCTCCCAGTGTCATCTTCGTTTGCTGTTATGCATTTGCTTATCGCCTTTCAATCTGGTTTTTGGAAAAGACAGGCTCAAATGAGAACAAATGAGAGTGGTAAGGATGGAATAGGAAGGACTTGCTTGCTTGTTTCTATATCCCCAACTCTGAAGCTCTCTGTGTTGTTCACAGTAATTAAAAACATTACATACAACACAAAATATCCTATAACTATTTAACACTACAGTATAAGATGGAAGTGAAAGTAAAAGAAGGAAAACGTAGCAGAACTGCAAAGATTCAAATACAGCAAGGATCTGAAACAACAGAGACCAAAAGTCTAAAGGACTAAAATTCTGCCCTGTTGGGATCTGAGGCAGGGGGTTCGCTGTGGATCCAAATGCAAGTGGGCATGAAAGCAATATTTCTGGAAAGCTACCCCCCCTAAAAGAAAAGCCTTGCAGAACCTCAAAGACAAACAGACACCTTTGTGGGTTGGTCCACTTCATATGCTGAATCACCTGATTAGAAAAGGTGGGTCATTTGAAATGGCTGCAGTAAAATAAAGCAAACACTGGATGCCATTTATTCTGTTTTGGGGAACCATGTGCAGAAGCCCCTATCAGCATGTCCGGGAGCAAGGAAAGCTGGGAGATGAAGTCCGGGAGACCTACTGCTTGCCTGCTCCCGAATTCCTTTTTCATTAAAACTGAAGCTTGTCTACTTTTCAGGAGGTGGGGCTCTTGTTCTGGGTTTTTGCTTTGTTTTGCTAGATGTCTATTATGCCCTCATTGCAAGCGCTTCCAACATGTAGCTGCTCCTCCTCAAAGCACTCTGCAGAAGCATTCTGTCAAGAGACAAATATAGGGCATATATTGGCAGGAAATGTGCAGTTTAAGATTATACGCTGCTTTTATCCTTAGACTTCAGTGCCTCCTTGTACAGCAGTGCTTTGCATCACCCCTTTAACTTAAATACACGTGGGGTGTTTGCAGAAAACGCGTTCCACCTCACAACCACTGAAGTGGGGTTCTGAAGCCCAGTTTGGAGGGGAAAGTGTAGCTCGCACCTCCTGCCTACGGGAATGAACGAGTTCAAGAGCAATGTCTATATTGAAGTAGGGCTGCGGGGATTCTCTCAGTAGACTCCAGCAGTTGCATTGGCGGATAGCTGGTGGCCGAGCCTCTTCTATGGCAGCACGTCCTTTCCACTTTCATGCCGTGGTGAAGCATCACGTCAACATGCAGGGACTTGCTGCAACAGCCCCAGTATGACCGTGCCTCCAAGGAGGTGCCAGAACTACAGGCAGCTGTGTGGACCCCTCTCAGCACCCTGGTCCCAGCAGTTTCCATCTCCTCCCGGAACAGGCCCTTTTTTACAGAAGGGCCCATTCAAGACCCCGCAGTGCAACATGCTCTGGAACAACCGGCAGCAAACTTGCCTTCCCCCGGCTGTTTTGACGAGGACCGCAGCTTTGCTTGGGGGAACAGGGAATGCTGAGGGGACTGCAGATCATGCGTGCTTCCCTGCCAGCCACAGCGCCCAGGTGCGGTGCCCCGGGTGCCCGGCTTCACCAGACCACGGCCGCCTGGCAGTTGCCCCCAGGTTGTGCTGTGCCGCCTTGGTTCCTCCCGCCGCATGCACCGTCCAGTCCTGAGGTATCATGTGGGTGACAGCATGGCCAGGGGAGGGCTCCTGACTTGCACGAGGGCCGTCTCTTCCTGTGAAGCCCGTCTTAACACCCGTCGGACATGCATATTGATCGATTGGGACACTGAATTAGCCAGGGGCGGGGCAGTATTTTAAGCTGGTCCTACAAAGGACTTTTCTTTTGGTTTATGAGACGTGACCAAACTCACATTTGCATCCTGTAATATTTTATGCTAACTGTGAAAGCTTTGGAAAGGGGGAAAAAGGGATATCTGCAAAAGTGCTTTCAACTTCAGTGTGACTGATGAATTTTATACACCACCAGGCATGAGATTTTAAAATGAAATTCATGTGGCACCATGAAAGCTTTCCCCTTCCCTCTTCCAGGGGGTAGTTTCTGCTACTTGGCTTTCAGCACAGCGAGGGAAAGCTTGTTCTGTCCCTCACAAGGCGATGTAGTATTCTTTAAATAGCTATCAAAAGCTATGAGGACAGAAATGGCTACTTAAAATGAAATCTCCTTAGATTAGGAATTTCAGAATCACAGGCAGTTTTATAAAGTGCTGCTGCTGCTGCTACAGTTGTAAGACACTGAGTGCCACTGGATGCATTTGCATGCCACAAAAACCCGCCTTGGCAACACCCCAGAGTGGGTTGGTTGTTGTGCAAACAAGCCATGGTGTGCCCAACAGACGATTGGTCTCACTGTGGGTTGTTAGTCCCCTCCCCTCCAGTCCCCCCATGAGAATCCCAAGGGTGGGCTAAGCTGCCTCCCCCGCCCCTACCGCCATTGGGAACCATTTTTGGGGCTGACTGTGGCTTTTTCCCACTTCGAATTCTTTCCCTTAAAATCCAAGTGTCAGAAATAGCTACTCCTGTCAATGAGGTGGCTCACAGTTTTGCGTGGCTCCACCATTGTAGAGCCTTGGGAATAAGCAGGGGTTGCTCCTGGGACATGAGTCCACTGCCTCCCAGAGATCTTGCAACAGAGGGTGAGTGCCATCCCACCTTCCTGAGCTAAGATCACTTCTGCCTTTGGTTACATTTGGCAGTGGAAATAAATGTACCTCCTGCCTCTGTGGGGCAGTGCCCAGGGCGGATACTTGCTGGCATTTGCCCACCTGGGGGCCAGTGACTTTGGGAGAAGGTGCTCCTGCAGGTAGGCTGGCCCTCAGCCACCTGGGTCTATAAGGTTCAACGCCAGTACTTTGAACCGGGCCCAGAAAATGATCAGCCGCCAGTGCTGTTGACGCAGCACTGTAGCCTGTTCAAATCGTCCAGTCCCAGTAAGCAGGCTTGCTGCTCTGTTCTGCAGTTTCTGGACTCTCTTAGGAGATTACCCAACATATAATAATGCACGGTAGTAATCCAAGCAGGAGGTTTCCAGGGCATGGGTAGCACCTGTCTTTGTCCAGGTAGGGGTTTAACCAAAGCTGATAAAAGGCCACCGGAGCTCGTGTGAGACAGCTGGATCTGGGAGCACCCCTGGACTGCAGACTTGCTCGGCTGGCTAGCACGGATCACTGCGAGACCAGAGAACTGACCCGAGACAAGTCGGCTTCATGCTGGGCCCACAGCTCTCGTGAGTGGAGCCAGCCAGAGTGTGCTGCCCGTGTCAGTTCTGCACATGAGTCTGTCCACTCGTCGTGCCCCACAGGGTGATACGAGTTTCACTCTTTCTGTGAAGTGGTGCCTGTCGTTTTGCCTGTTGGAGAGCAGACAAAGAGAAACAAGTGCTTTGTGAAATGAGCCACACAAAATGCAAAGATCCTACACTGCAGGCAGATCCCGGGGGTACAGTAAAATCCATGACTAATCTTGCATGGTTTGTATGTTTCCACATCATGGTACCCATTAGTAACATTTTGTGTAGATCTGTATCTCTGTATGGTTTAATTAGTGTAGCCTTGCTTTTTATTTCACATTATACAGATGACATACGTAACATTTTCTCCTCGGCTGGCTTAAACGAAGTGCAGAATCTGCTTGATCAACGTCTGCAGGTAAACAGGAAGAAAAAACTGACGATGCATCGTGTGTGGGTCCAAAGCAAGTTCCAAAAACCACTGCTGCTGGCTCTAAGCAGATGATAAGATGCTCAGAACAACACACATTTGTTGAACACGCATTTTCCCAAAATGTTCCAGGTCAATGGCTGAAAAGCCAGAAAGATTTCTGAACAGTAACTTCTGTCCTATGCTTTAAATTGGTATACATTGGCCAGACTCCAGAAAAAAATGTGTATGGAAAACTGTGCACACCCTTTAAAGGTTTTGACTTGTTTTGACTATGCAGCTGCAACCCAGTGTAATCTGTCGAGGGCCATGGCTGGTGGCAGTCCAGCTACAGAAGATCCTCCCAAGAGGGGCCAGCTCGGCACCCATCCTGCAGCCCTTTTGGTACCAGGCAAGAACATAGTTGCTTTAATTGGTCATAAGTTGTTTTCCTAGGTTTTATTTATGGTTTTGAAACAGTTTTGTTTGACTGTACACTGCCACTACCCATCCTAAAATAGGATGAAGGGTGGAATAATTAGATAAAGCAATTAGATACATCTGCAAAATTGGTACCTTTGGCCAAATATCCTGAAATATGGAATAAGCAAATTGTTCATAGAAATGGAATAATTTGGGAACAAATGTTTGAATCAAAATATTTCTTTGATATAGACATCTGAGATATACGAAGTAGGAGATGGATGTATGTAATGGAACAACATCTGATAAAAGTATATTTTCTTTTTAAAAAATAGTTATGATTGATTATTATTGTAAAGAACATCACATTGGCGTTACTTTACTACAGAATAACCAAAACCAAGATATTCCCTGTTTCTGAATCTGCCCCTTCAAACTCTAGACAAGGTCCAACATCGTTCAAGTGGATTCCTTGAGCAATAGAGCTTCTCTTTCCTCCGCACCCAAATTTGTAATTGAGAAAGTCACTTGAAGATAACATTCAGCAGTATATTAAAAAAAGAAAAGGTAAAGGTTCCTCCGCACATGTGTGCTAGTCGTGTCCAACTCTGGGGCCAGTGCTCATCTCTGTTTCTAAGCCAAAGAGCCAGCGTTGTCCAAAGATGCTTCCACGGTCTAGTGCCTGGCCTGATTAAACACCGACGTGCACGGAACGCTGCTACCTTTCCCACCAAACTGGTACCTATTTATCTACTCGCATTTGCATGCTTTTGAATTGCTAGGTAGGCAAGAGCTGGGACAAAGCAGCGGGTGTTCACCCCACACATGGATTTGAACTGCCAACCTTCCAATAAATACAATGGAAAACTAGAGCAGTCAGTTTAATCTTTGCCACATTGACTCCACCTCCACCTCTTCTAAGTTATGTGGCCTGGATTACCTTGATCCAAATGCCAGACTCATGAGACCGATGGTGGTGCTGGATCTGTACCCGAACCCTGACTTGCTCATGCTGAACAGCCAGGCCACCATTTTCAACCTTTACAGGGCCATACGTTGCCACTGTGCATCCCCTGTTCTCTTCTGCCCTCGCGGCTGCAGCCCTGGCCATCTGATGTGATGGCGCTGCAGCACGGCTGAGATCAGGGGAGCAGCTCCTTACCCTTGTAAGCTACCAGAGGGGCTCTAGGGCTGAGCCCCCCCTTGTAGGCATCTTACACTGTCAGATCTCCCGGCTAATAGAGTGGGAATACTAGGATTACTTAGAAATTTTCACTGTGCTTTGGGAGACTGTTTACTTAATTAATTCCCTTAATGAATGGTTTCAAAATATCCAGGGACATTCTGCTCCCCAAGCAAGTTTACTCTTTGATGCCACTTTTGTACTAAAAGTTGTTGGTTAAATCATAATTAAACACCGGGATTTCAATGTTATTAAATACCACCCCATAAAGTGGGACTTAGTGTAAATGTATTGACAGTGTTTTGCATTTAGGCCCATCAGAGGGAGGTGGGAAGCATCTTGTTTGTTTCGTATCAGATGCTGGAGACAGTGAGGCAACGGGCTGGGAGGAATAAAGGAGCCTCCAACAAATGGCGATCCTGGACTCTATTTTATACATCAGAGCAAGCAAGAAAATGATTTGGGATGTGTCTTTGAGGCGAACATACTTTTGGGATGAATGCAAATTCTATTAGGTGTGGGTTGTTTAAGCAACAAATCATACCTTAGGTCAGTATAATATGCACAGTATGGTTTTCTGAGTTTTGCATTTGTTCTAAATTCAGTCCATGCATTACCAACATCATGTAGTTTGGGGTATGGATATTGATGGCACTAATGGAGGCTGAAATATTTCCTCAGAACATAACCTTATTCAGCCTTAGAATACTGTGCACCTGCGCATGAGTGTGTGTATTCAACTTCTGTGGGTCATGGGACCAATCCGCACCGGAAGACACCCCTGGGGTCTTCATCTTTCAGCTGAAATTGTTGCTGCACCACCATCAAAATTCAGGGGCAATGGCAAAAATGTTGATTTTCTTTAAAAGCCAAGGATATGCCTACTCTGCTATAAAATTGGAGCAAAATTGTACACTAGGGTGATTTCCAGGAGGTTTCTAGGGGTGCAGTTCTACTCCCCAAGATGGTACACCTTCCTCAAATTCTTTATTTTTAAGGAAAGTCATGACTTTTTCAGTGGCACTAGTGTTGGGTGGGGAACGCACTACTGGTTTAAAGAAATACCATTTCAAATGCAGAATTTGTCTTGACCAGGCTTGAAAAAGCAGTTGCATCAGTTTTCTTCCCACATCCTCTTCTCTGGAGTAAAGCAAGAGGTTTTGAAAGCAGTTTTGGAAACTTTTCTTGCCTTTTTCTAAACCTCTGTGCTCTCAGTAGCTCACAGTTGCATTTTTGCCTTACAAGAACTCTGCAAAGTGGCGTAAAATAAAGCTAGTGATTACCTAACACTATCTGGCAAGACACAGACTTGAATTTCCACAATCCTAACTGAACACTGGTCACTTCAACCCACAGATCTGTGTGTGTTGCAAATATATGAAAGATTTCAGGTGGGCAAGCCAATGACCGTTAATAAAGCCTATACCAAAGTGCACGTGTATTCCAGGAATAAAATGCAGGCATAATTCAAAATCTAAAAAGGAACTCAAGGGATGTGAGCTAAAGTACCTATGTAGACCTTTCCACCAAAGGATTATATTTACAGTTGGCTGTGACGGCAAGATGGGGCTTTAGCACAAATGTTTGAAGCTGCAAAAGCATAACATGCAACCCACCGGCTCCCTTGACTGTCCCGATCAGACAGCAGGTGGCATGCATTTCGTAGGCACGCGCAAGTTGCCATCCAGGTAGAATGCTCCCAAGAAACGCTGAATGGTGTAGCGCCTATAGAGGATGGGATCTGCGAAAGAGGGATTGTGCAAACCCACCACTGAAACATTGATCCCAACTTTGCAGTCCAGCCAAAGCGTCCCTTCAGCATTTTCCACAAGGACACAAATTGTTTGTCTTGTTGCCAATTGTTTGTCTGGCAACATGAGATTTACGCTGCAGAGACTGTTATGAAGTAACAAGAGCAGACAAAAAGGTAGTGGGTGCCGTCTGTGGCCTCTGATGGATGATTGTGCCTGATGTTGCTGCAGGAAGTGTGGTAGATCGAGAGACAAGACCCAGCACGTCCTGTGGTGGTTAGGTTTTTGCATGCATTGTCATTTGGGTGTCAGCGCACACACACCAACTCCCAGCAAGATTTACAAGACTTTCTCCTAGAAGCTTGTAACTGTTACCGGGCTGAGGGCATACTCAGTTCAGACACTCAGTGAAAATTGGTATATAGTTAGAAAATAATGATACAGAGTAAGAATAAAGATGTGGTGTAGCCAGTGTGGTGCGGTGGTTAAGAGCCTGGGACTGGGACTCGGGCGACCTGAGTTCTAGTCCCCGCTCAGCCATGGAGCCACCTGGGTAACTGTGGGCCAGTCACTGACTCTCAGCCCAACCTACCTCACAGGGTTGCTGTTGTGGGGAGAAGATGGAGAGGAGAATGATGTAAGCTGCCTTGAGCCCTTTGTAGGAAAAAGGCAGGATATAAATCGAAAAATAGATAAATAAATAAATGTGTTGGTTATTGCTTCTCCATTCATGTGTATGATGTTGTTCTGTGCCATCAAGTTGTCTCCACCTTACGACAATCCTATGAATGAAAGCCCTTCAAAATGTCCTGTCCATGATAGCTCCGTTCAATTCCTCCAGCTTCAAGGCTGTGGTTTCCTCTATGGATTCAGTCCATCTCATATTTGGTCTTCCCTAACACGACTGTCTTCTCCACTGAGTCTTGCCTTCTAATGATGTGTCCAAAGTATGGTAGCCTCAGTTTTATCATTTTTGCTTCTTGGTAAAGCTCTGGCTTGATTTGATCTAGGACCCACCTGTCTTTCTCTCTGTTGGGCCAGGTTATCTGCAAAGCTCTCTTCCCGCACCATGTTTTGAAGGCATCCATTTTCTTCCTGTTGGCCCTCTTCACTATCCAGGTTTCACACCCATACACTGTGATTGGGAATACAATGGTTTGGATGATCTTGATTTTGGTCTCCAGTGAAACATCCCCACACTTGATGATCTTTTCTAGTTCCTTCATTGCTGTCTTTCCATCTTCCAACTTTCTTGGCTGCAGTCTGAATAGATGACTCAGCCGAGGTATGTGAAATCTTTCACAATTTCTTCATTATTAGCAGTGTAGTTCTGTAATTTGTCTGCAGACAGGATTTTTTGTTTTCTTAATATTCAACTGCAGTTCTGTGTGTGTGTGTGGGGGGGGGGAGGAATTTCACTCCAGCAATTAATGCGACTCATTGAGTAAAATTGATGGTGGGAAATAAAGTCCCAAGGTGAAGGGTATGCAGTCTGTTTTGAAATGGGTTTTGCTCCACCTGAAAGAGCAGGTTTGTATTCTGGTTATCTTGAGATGGCCTCTGTGGCATGGAGTACATGCTAGCAGCTTTGGGAATTTCTGGATTGCAGTAGCACACTCTACATGGTGCTGCCCTCAAAGATGGTTCAGAAGAAGATGTGGCTGGTGCAAAATGTTGTAAGCTGCCCCGAGGCTTTGGCGAATGGGGTGGCATAAAAATGTTTTAATAAATAAATAAATAAAATGCAGCAGCTAAGCTGACAACAGGGACAAGCAAGTCTGAGCACTGATTTCATCCTCTTGGGCTGTGCATTTGTATATTTCTGAGCCTGATTCAAATGCTGATTTTAATCTGCAAAGCCTTACATCAGTCCGGGCTGCAATCCTTGACCAAGTGTCTTCACTGGCATGAACACGCCCTTACACTGCGCTCAACATCTGAGGCCCTCCAAGGGAGGCTCAGAGGGGGGGCAACAAGGAGAGGACCTTCTTGCTGGCGGCCCCCAGCTTGTGCACTGAGGCTCCCCTGGTGATGACATCACACTCTTTTCAGTGCCAGTTTTCTGTGTGTGTCTGCGGTCCGTTGATGTGGTTGCACATAAACTGTTTTTGCATTGTGCACAATATTTTTATGCTTTTAATCTCTGTACAGCCTTGGTTCTTGGGGTGGTATGCAGACATAATAAATGGCCTGAAATGAAATATGGCTCAAAGAAACCAGGATGGCAAAGGCTGCTCTTTAGAGTACAAGGGTACAGCTTCCTTCTTCAGTTGGGAATATGCCCCCACTTTGTTGGAGAAAGGGATGACAAATATTTACAGAAAAAGTAACAATCTGTAATCATGTATGTACCTAGCAATGAGAGGAGGAGGAAGAAGAGGAGCAGGAGCAG